CCGGCAGCGGGCTGTTTCTTTGCTTTAAAAAAAAAAAAAGTCTTGGCTTTCTGGGAACAGCGGTGCCTTTTGTGGGTGATGAGGGGGTGTCGGTGCTCGTTAGTCTCGCCGCTTTGCTCTGGTGGCTCCTCCTTGTCCTGAGCTGGTTCGTGCTCGGAGGGACGGCTTGCGCCTCGGCGCCTGCGAGAGGGCGGTATTTGAGGTTCGATTAACCTAAGTTTGGGTTCGAAACGCCGCGTGTACGTTTTTGGAGGCTGCAGAGTTACCAGAGAGTTGAGTTTGGGGTTTGAAGCTGGGATAAACCAGATTTTATTCTGGTTCCCGGGAGCCGTGAGAACCTGCCGGGCAGGAGGACGGGGCCGGCCTGGCCGTGCCGATGCGCGGTGTTTGCTGCCAAATCTCCGCCAAGTAATTCGGGAGGGAATGAGGTCTTCGGTGGCTGATTCCTCCGGGAATACTGTGAAATACTGGAATTGCGACGGCGGGGGCTGCAGCTGCCGGCAGACCCCCGGATCAGGAGGAACGTGTCGCTCCGCTGTTTCTGCTGAAGTCGGATGTTAAGAAAACTTTGAGCCGGTCTTTTCTCCGCAGCGCCTGGAAACCTGACGGTGCGGAGTCTCGGCCGAGCCGGCGTCTGATCGCGTGTTGTCCGGTCTGGGAGAAATGCAGAACCCCCCCCACCAAAAAACCCCCCAAAACCCCAATCCTAAAGAATAAGTAAACTGTGAGAGACAAATCCCCGTTCTGGAGTTACTTCCAGTGAGGAAACCGCGGCCTGTGCCGCGCCGGTGCTCGTTGGTGTTTTGTCGGTGCCGCGTCACGTGAAGCTCCCGAGCGGGAGCTGTCGGTGGGGGGTGTTGGAGCAAACTCTGCAGCCTGAGCTCTGACGGGGTTCCCTGCCTGGAACTTTCCAGCTGAACTGCGGAATTTGTCGCCTCACGCGTCCGTTAATCCCGGCATGGCCAGGACAGTGTGTGTTGGGAACAGATTTATTTTGCGCTTGCTTGTGATTTTTGACCTGTTGGGTTTTGTTTTTTTTTTACTGTGGGGTGAAGAGGAGGGTTTACGCGAGAAGCCTGTTTGGCAGGACTCGAGTCTGGGCTCGGGAATGTTTTCCAGACTTAGAGCGAGTCTGGCTTAAGGATGTTCCTTAATTTTGCCTCAGAGCGGTCAGTAGCTGAGGTGTGTTTGAGATCTGCGGTTCGACAGAGCTTTACTTGCTGCTCAGTCACCAAAAAACCAAGTTCACCCCACGGACGCGAGTCCCTCCCCTGATTTCAGTCCACCCGAAACGCCGGGGACCTGCGGGACGGATGATTTTCCCCCGTGGTCACCGCGCCGGCGCCTCCGGTAGCTCTCTGTGCCGCACGCGGACTCGAGCGCCATCGCTTCGTGTTTGCAGCGTGCAGGAATTCATGACCTTCACGAGCCAGCTGATCGTGGAGCGCTCGGAGCTGGGCAGCAGAGCCTCTGTCAAGGAGCAAGGTAAGAGGATAACGCGGGGGCAGCGAGCGCGGCCGCGCGGCCTTCGGTCCCTGTCGGTTTGTGGTTAAAAAAGACGAGATCTCACGAGTAACGCTGAAGGCGCGAGGCGGCTGAGCAGGCCGAGAGCCCAGCCCGCCCCGTGAGAAGGGTCAGCTACGGTGCCTTCCCCTCTCCCTCGAGCTCTGCCGTGCGAGTTGGGGCTCCGTACCCCGATCTCTGGCCTCGTCTCCAGCCCCCACGTGTCTCCCGAGCCCTGGGACGCGCAGGGTGCGGCCTCGGTGATGACGCTGCTGGCTTGCGGCGGGTTGTTATTATTAAAATCAGGCTGAGCGCTTCCCCCTCTGTGTTTTGTTTAACTCTGGCCGTACCTGCTGCCCTGGAAGGTTGGCGTCCTCTCCCGCACCGCGTGGCCGGGCTGCGGTAACCTGCTGCGGCCCAATTTGGGGCCGATTTGAGCCCTTCCCGCTCTCCTGATGACATCACGTGAAATACGGTCGCTGAATGAAACCTTCCGGGGCAATTCGTGGGTCGGGAAGGAACTGCTGGGGCCGGGTGGGAGGCGGGGAGCACTGGGGGAAGCTCCGGACCTTCCCGCTGCCTCTCTGACGCGAATTCTCTGCCCAGAGTACCTCTGCCACGTCTACGTGCGGAACGACGGGCTGGCCGGAGTGGTGATTGCAGATAACGAGTATCCGCAGCGGGTTTGCTTCACCTTGCTGGACAAGGTGAGCGCAAGGGCTGGGAGCGGCTCCGGAGGCGACGGTCTGCGGCGAGGCCTCTCTGGGGAGCTCCTCCAGATCCGCTGCTCGCCCTCTGACGAGGAAACGACCCTCCTGCTCGTTAGCTGGGGGGACGTCAGCGCTGAGCTGAGCAGGATCCGGCCAACCCAAAACTTCCAGGCCGTGCAGCGACTCGGCTTCGCCTGCTCAGACTTAGCGCCAGCTCCACCGTGCTGCCAGCCCAGGCAAACGCCCCGTCTTGGGTTTTATGCGGGAAAACCAGGTGCAGCCGCGCTCCCGGCGTTGCCGAAAACCGGTGATGACTTGTCTGGCCGCCCTGGCAGGGCACAGGGCGCTGGGGACGGTTGGGGACAGTCACCCCTACCCGGCATGGGCACTGCCCGAGGAAGTGGAGTTCTGTCTCTTCACTCAAGGTTGTTCAAAAGGGGACGAGGAGGAGGAGAAAAATCTCCTTTTCCAAGGAGAAAATCAAATCCCTTCCGGCCGCCGCGGAGCTGCCAGGCAGTAAGTGCCCGTTTCCTCGTGTCACAGGTGCTGGATGAATTCTCCAGGCAGGTCAGCAAAATAGACTGGCCCTCGGGATCCCCAGCGACCATCGGCTACGCGGCCTTGGACGGTTACCTCAGTAAATACCAGGTATGGCCCCCGGCGCCCCCGCGGGTCTCGCGCAGAGGCCAGGAAACGTTCCCCACGGCCCCGCGTCTG